GCCCACGTACCGCAAAAAAAAAACAAAAAAAAACCAAGATGCTAATAAAGTACTTTATAAGAACAGGTGTCAAAAAATCCAAAGTCTAAAATAAATTGTTCCTGGGGAAGAAATAATGTGAATATAAATGACCCAGAGCTAATTTGGTATCCTGAAGTTGTTATTCTACATTAATATTAATAAAAGTAATATAACTTTTTTTCTACAGAAATACTCTTATAGTCCTCAATACAGACAACAACAACACCAAGGGATGATTTATCAAACACTGGAAGGCAGGCATAGATTCTTTTTCTGATGCAATATGTATAAAACAGAAAATGTTAATGTTTAAAAATCCACACACAATCCTTTTCACTTTTGTGCAACATCAGACCAATACTGTAGGTAGGTCAGTGCTTGACCAGTGTTCAATAGAACAAAGAATTGTATAAAACTACTCTTCAGAGTCATGCATCAAAAGAAGACAGTGCCACACAGCAAACACAAATACAAAAAATAAAAAACAAATCACACACATTTGCATGCTAGCACAGCAGATAGCAAACCCTTTTCTTGCTGAGTAGATTCTTTCTCAGAGAAATAGATGAAGAATAGTCACTGGCCTCCAAATCCTATAATCATCCAATAACATAATAATATTGACACAATTACAGCAAGCAAAAAAATGTGCAGTTTTCAAATATTCCCTCCCCCATCCTTTTATCTTTTTCCATCTTCCAGCCCACCGGAATGTACATAAGTAAAGCAAAATAAACAAAGCTCTGAGGAAAAAATTAAGCTAACTTAACAATTTCTAAATCAGTGGGCTAAAGTAAATTACAAATAATAAATCCTCCATGCAAGAGTATCACTAATTTAAGGAAATAGTTTCTACTTAAAATATCCTAGAAAAAAATCATATAGGAGCATCAATTTTAGGGCTCATAACTTAAAATTTATTTAAATTGAGAAAAAGTCATAGATATTTGGTCCTAATATAAAACAGCCCTTATAATACATTGATGTATAAAATATACTGATGTATAATATACTGATGTCAATAAATCTCTACGCAACTTGGTTCAAATTATCTTAATATAAATAAAATTGTTCATGTTTCAGATTACATGCCACACCTGTTTATGGTCTAAAGTGTGTTAATAGAGAACTGAAGAAGAAAATGATATTACTTACAACACAATTACTATTTATCTTACTTTCAGATTCTGAATATAGTATTTTTTTTTGATATTTACTAATGTAAATGCTGAGACCTCATGTTCATACTATATCATAATTTTCCCATATTCTTAAATAGTCTCAAAAATATTATGAATATTATTTTTGCTTGGTATCTATGAATGACTACAGTTTAAGGTACCACCAAATAGATTCAGTTCATCCCCTTATTTACTCTTATAAAAAATGTTTCAATGGACAGTCTATTGCTTATCTGTACTTACTTCCTTCAAATAAACTTTTAGAAGTAGAACAACTTGATAAAAAGATATGAGCACTTCTTAGATCTTACATAATGTCAAACTGCCCTCCAAAGAAGGCATGCCAACTTCCAGTTTTTTTTTCAGCAATGTATAGAAGATCCCACTTTCCTCTATACTCAGCACTAAATATAAAATTGTTAATCCTCACTAATTTTTCATAGTTTTTATTTGCATTTGCCTTATTACTAAGGTGTCAAACATTTTTATCTCTGTTTTGGGCTTTTATAAGTCTTTTATGAATAAGCTGTTCATGATATTTATCCATTTTTCTATTGTCTCACTTCTGAAACACTATTCTGAGATATTAGTAAACTTATAATCCAAGAACTGACGTTTGACAGAGGAAAAATTCTCTCTCAAGAATGTCTTAGAAGATAAATGGAAGGTTACACCCTGTATGTGATCGCGTCATGTGGCATAGAAAGTTATCTGCCAAGAATCAAAACGACAAGCACGAGAGAAGCATATGGAATAAGATGCTGTCTATACTCCCTAGTTCATCCCTGGCATCCCTTCCCCACCCACTGAGATTTCTTGTCATTAGCTGTTGTGGAAAGAGAACAGACAGAGTGAGTCATGAATTAAGATCCTCCCGCAAATAATCGTACAAAAAAAGCACTGCAACAGAGGGTAACGTATCAGTTGCCACAAAGATAAGAATGCTTTATGCAGGCGAAGACCTTTGAAGAGCTAAAGACAGAAGCCTCTTGATACACATTCAGTACAATGATCTACTTTATCATTCATTCAAACAGATTTTTCCCCTTCATCAGGGCATCTTGTCCTTTTATTTGGTGTTCAAAACACTAGGACACAAAGGATGCTCTTCATCTTGTGTGCTACTGAAATGAAATCTTGAGGTAGGGAAAAAAGAAAACACCCTTGCCCTAAATTCCCTTTCAAAAGTGAAGTGTGAAAAGACAACAAGCAGAGTACGCAGTACTATTGTTGCAAGAAAGTCAATTCTGCAAGTGCAGCGGCTCAATCACTTCCTCACTCACAAGCGAATAATAAGAAAAATCCAAGGAGAATGGGTTCCACCTGGGGAAATGCAATTTCTCATTGGGCTTCCTCCTGATTATCATTAACATCTATGGGTACAGCTGTTTCCTTTCTCTGAATAATCCTGAAGTCAATGCTATAGTATTGGCTCCCTTCTTCCATCTCCACAGGGCCTATTGTACATCACCTCATGCCCTATTCTGAGCAGCAGAAATTTCAAATTTATCTTTTCATTGAGTAGCAAACTAGAAAGCCTAACTATTTGATTTAGTTTGGTACTGAGAGGATTCAAAATTATTTTAAAAATTTATAGCCTTGAAAATTTGGTCTTATTAAACCTTCTTGGCTATATAAATACATTTTAATTGCAAGGTATAAGTGAAGTTATACTGTAGAAGGTAACCAGAATCAAAGATATTTTAACAAACTACTCAACAGTTATGACATATAAATTATCATGTATTTAATTTTTATATAAAAATTTCTTGTTTATAAAGTCAGCTTTTTTCAAACAGGGTGAAGAACTCGACCATCTAAAAATTCTTCATGACATAATTTTATATGCTACAGAGTATGTATTTATATACCAGGACCATTGTTACATGAGCTGCTTTATGCTTTATTGTTTCAAAATAAAATGTATTATTTATTACCTGAATGGCGTTTTAAAAAGCCATCCAAGCTTCTTGGAGTCCAACTGAAAGTTTGGTTAGTTCAATTAACAAAAGAACTCATGAATAGTAAGAAAATTGAGACAAGACCATATTTACATTCAGAGCTCCTAGTAATCCACTTGGCCTACAGTAGTCACTGAAAAAATGCTTTTTTTAATGGAAACCTGTGTAGTAAACAAATTAACAAAAAATAAAGCAGTTTCCCCATGTGGCAGTTCTTCAGCAATGCAGGGGCACTCCAGAATTTTAAATCATGATGTTATTTGTCCACACACAAAGAGTGTGCTTCTTGTGACTAAGATTTGAGTTTTTAAAATTTATATATATAAAAATGTGTGTGTGTGTGTGTGTGTGTGTGTGTAGACACACACACAGACATTTACTAGATCTTTCAAGGGTTTTTTTCACAACTCATCCACGTGCATAAACCTATAAACATGAAAGTTTAAATCTATTTGTAAAATTACCACTGCACTGAAAAAGAATTATATCCATACATATCTTCCACCAACTTCTTTTTACTTTGACGTGAGGAAATGGTAAGAACACTCAAAGCTCACATATACAATGAGCATTCATAGAGCACACTGTTGTATACAGTATGCTTCTGTGCAATTTTTCTGGTTAAATTTTTCTTTCAGGTATAAAATGTTCTCCTAGTCTAAGTTCATGTTATTTTCTTCTCTGTTGGGAGACCTCTCAGAAATTTGATGACAGTATTTCTATATCACATCAACTCCTCTTAGTACAAATACAAGTTTCCTTAAGCACATAAAATGAGTAAGACTTTAGCTGCTCTACCATCAATTTCCTAGGTTCAGCAGGGGAATGCTGTTTTGTGAGGTCTCAGAGCAAAGTGTATTCTCATTGCTCAGAAGGCAGTTTGTATACTTGTTCTCTCTGAAGGATGCTCAGCTTACTGTGATGTTAATATTTGTATTATGTGATTTTGTGAATTGATTTTTTAAAGCCTCAGGTAAAAGAACCAAAGCATTTTTCCCCCTAAATGTCTCCTTTCTTCACTTAGTTCCACTTTACTAGAATTGGACTTTAATTCCAATATTTTCCATAGTAGAGTTCTACTGGGGTAGATCTTATATCGAAGGTTTGAACATTTAAGGGTATCAAGTAATGTCAAAACACTGAATGATCCAATGTATGTTTTCTCCCAAGGAAATACAAAACTATGGTATGGAAGTGGATTTGCCAAAATTCAATCATAAAACAAAACAAAAACCCCACAATTATCTGGGTAGGCCTAGGCACTAACGTATCTGTCTCTTATTCCATCGTCTTCAATTATCCTAACCTCTTGCTTGTTTGCCTAATTTTTAACTAGCTAAAAAATAAGTTTCATTAACTAAAAATAAACTTAACTAACTAAAAAAATCAGTTTCAAGAAAGATAGAACTTATGAGAGATGGTGTTTTCATACTTTTGTAGAGGTGAAAAGATGAAAATGCTCTTGATGGAGGGCTGGAACATATATAGCTACCCTTCTAGTCCAGGTAAGAGCCTGGTGGTAAAACTTAACCCTACATTTTCCAAATATCACCCAATTTTGCATTGTATGTACTTATTTTTAACCAGGAAAGGATTCTGCTACTTAACATTCCTGTTATTTTATGCACAAGGTGACCAAGATTAAGAGGGTGAATTTTTCTACCTTCGAAGACTCAAGTTTACAAAAAAACTGCAAGTTTACAACAAACTACAATTTTTTTTTAAGTTAACAAAGCGTGAAATGACATCACACAAAAAAAGTTAGACTTGAGAGTTATACAGACAAACAATAATTTTAATATTATATCAGCTAAAATTCTGAAGGAAATGTACATACCCAAACCTTCCGATTCAAACAGACATGTTTCATCTACCCCTAAATCTCGGCACCAGGATAAGAAGTTTGCTGTATTGTCTCTGGCAAAAAAGGATCCTGAGGGTGCACTGGCCTTGCATGGAATCTTCTTTAAGGGCAGCTTCTGAAAAACAAAGAAATCTCACTCTGGTGGAATATCTGGCAGTCATCACAGTGACACGTTAAGTGTACATTTATGTTTTCAACAAAACACTTTGGTACAATCTTATGTCAATAAATAGGTTTGTAAAGAACTATAGGAAAGGACATGAAACTCAAATGAAATTTAGTTCTTAATTAAGAGACTAGGAAAATCTGTGCCTGTAAACATATACTTGCCTTTTTAGTATCTAGAAGTAAACATACATAAGTCCCTTCCCTGGCTCAGATTGCCTCTTTTCTTTCTCTTCTACTATTTTTTTTTTTTGGCCTTCTCTTTCATCTAAGTATTCTGTCAGTATTTCTCATAAAGTATGTATAAATGAATTTCTCACTTGTGAAAGAAGAATGAAACACAAATGCAGTATACGAATATAGATAAAATGTAATACACACACCTGCATTTTTATGTGTATACATACACACACACAATAAAAATTACAATAGAATTATAAAGTCAAAAGAAAGCAGCAGAATTGTCTAACATCCATAATTCTCTATCACCAATATAAGAAAAGGAAATATTAAAATTTTTTATCTTTTAACAATAACATTTTACCATCATTCTTCCAGACTATTTCCTTTTAAACCATAGATTATTGCTCTTTTATGTAATATAAAAATAATTCTGGCTGGATTTCTGCTATCTGACCTTGAAACATGTTTACATTCTGCATCATTTCTCTTCCAGGATAAGAACATGCTTAAGAAAAGGGAGTGTGTGAACCCGGATAGACTTTTCTATTATCAGCCTCATAAAATTTTAGCCCTGGAAATCTCCCTTACCATACCAAATGTTATAAAGAGTTGTGTGAGGTTTTTTCCTTTAATAGAATATAACCAGTTTTCACGGCATTCCATGAAGTCACAGAGTGTGATTCTATGTGATGTGAAAGATTGAGCCAAGTGTTTGGATGATCTGGGCTAAACAGAGCTTTGCCTCTGAGAGCAAAAAGATCAAGGGAGAAGAATTTTGTGATTTCAATTCACAGGTTATTTCCTCTATTCTCTGTGAACAAGAAAATATAAACAAAATGTTGTGGATTGTTGAGGTCATTTACAAAGATGGTTATAAAAAAATGAAATAGTGGTCTTGGTGTACTGGTGAAGCCTACTATCATCAAGCTATTACTAGGGCTTTTTCTGTCCAGGAATTTTATGGCTACATAACTAAAATATGCAGTTACTACACCACTCAAAGACTGTGTCTGTCCAGTAGCAAAGATCCATCTCTTTGTTGCTGACTGAATTTGTTTTAGGCTTAGACATAAAAAAATTTTTGCGCGAATGCACATATATTTATATATACATATAACAATACCCCTTTACCAATTTGGTTAAGTAGTGGTTTTCAAAAAAATGCTTTCCTATATGAATTGTAAAAAACAATAAGAAATAGCATAGTTTAATGTCCCCTTTATAAAATATTCATGAACATCAATTAGTCAATATTTATTAAAATTAAAAATCATATATCCCTAAATCTAGCAATTTACTCCTAAAAATATATCTGGCAAATATAATAGTATTATTACTTTAAAATATATGGACAGGTATATTTGTTGCAACACTGATTGAATAGGAAAAAAACAGACATAGGATAGTCAAGAAAGGGCTGGTTGAATAATATAAAGTATACAAATACAGTGGAACTCTGTGCAATAATTTAAAAAGAATAAGATAAATATATATGTGTTGGACCATAAAAATGTGCAGTATATACTCTTAAGCAGAAACCAATAATTTGCAAACACATATGTACACTACAATTTCATTTTATGATGTGTGTGTATGCACATACATACTGGTGCATGTATATGCACATACACAGTATAGATGGTCATATATAAAGTTAAATTGCATATAAATATGTTGTATTATAAATATGAATATTGTATTTATTTATATAACATTCATTTAGGAAGAATTCAAGGAGGACATCCATCAGATTGATAGTAATTACCTTTGAAGAAGGTGATTGATGCATAGAGAATCATTTATATCTTAATTTACATAATTCCAAAATATGTAGTAGGATTTTGAGTGACTTTTACATTTTATCAATATTTTCCAATTAAATAATCAAATAAGGTAAATCATGTCAGCCAAAACATAACAAAAAGATCTGCTGAAAAAAAGTCTTCAAGAGGTGACTGTAAAGCTTCTTTATGATGCAAATAGGAAAAGAACATAAACAGAGTCAAACACTAAGCCATTTTAAAATCTACCACCTCTATCCCTGGGTGGGGGAAAAAAACCTTCTGAAACCACTTCAAACTGATGAATGAGTCTGCACACTTGCACACAGGAACTATAACCTAGGAACTATAAAATACTTGACATATATAAGGGCATGCCAAAGGACATGAGGTGCATGGGTTTCATGGCAAAAAGGAATACAATATCCAGATTGCACCAGAGAAGCTAGATTGACTTGACACTTAATCCACCAAGGGACATAGCTCATAGCTTGTAGAATCCAATATTATTCCTGGCTGCATACCAACCGAAAATCAAAGGGTCAACAGTCTTCCCAAGGTTGCTGTGCCATTTATACATAAGAGTCTTAGAGCAGATATCATATTTCACTTGAATTAAAGAACAAATGATTCGATAATATCAGTACTCAATGCCTTTGGAACTTATAAATATTTTTTGACATATTTTACACAAAAATATTCATAAAGTTCCAAAAACCTAAGCAATTACTGTATATCTCTCCAAGCTCTGTTATTTTAAAAAAATATTAATTTCTCTAGGTTCTCATGAAAATCCTAGGAAAAATGACAGCTCTGAATCTCTTCTTTAATATTAGTAAATAAAATAAAAGCAAATTGATGTATTGAATAAAATCAGCTTTCACCTTGCCACAAAAATCTTGAAGAAGAGGTTTAGAATAGAGAGCTGTCTTGAGTGATTATGACAGTCTCTACTTGAATAGCTAAAAAATTGACCACAGATAAGGAGAGGAATACTTCAGATGTGAAGAACTAGGGATTCAAAAGAGAACCTCCACATATAGCTCATCTTCCATATTAGTTTTCCCTTTACTGCTTAACTCTCCAAAGAACTCCTATGGCATTTAAATACCATCTCTAATTATTTACTCAGATGAGTTTTTCCAGACAATGTTGCTATATATTATGTCCTCAGAACCTGATTGATGAATACACGAATGAATGGTTAGATTTGACCCCTCACACTAGATCATAATCAATGTGAGGGCAGGAGCAAACACTCTGCCTTAGAGATTTTACATCTCCAAGGGACATGTTTCCAGGGCCTTCAAAATTCACTAAATTTATAGTACACATAAAATGCTTCCCATAAATTAAGAAAAGTATAACTGAAAAATATAATAAAACCTTTGAACATTTTTTGAAAGTTACTGAATATGGAATGAGTTGAGAATAGTTGCCAAGCTGAGCTGAGATCGGGTAGAAATTTAGGCTCGCTTACTCACTAGAAAAAGTCATGCTACCGTCCTCCAGCCTCCATGGTATAGGTTTCAATATTTTGTGTTAGCAAAAGGAGAAATGACTACCAATAAAACATTAGAATCATGTACAAGTAGGATACATGTTAATTTTTCTTTCTTTTTTTTAAATTGAAATGTAGTTGATTTACAATGTTGTTAGTTTCAAGTGATTCAGTTATCTCACACACACACACACACACACACACACACACATATTCTTTTTCAGATTCTTTTCCCTTATAGGTTATTACAAAATGCTGAGTATATCTCCCTATGCTATCCAGCAGGTTGGTTATCTGCTCTATGTATAGCAGTGTGTATATGCTAATCGCAAATTCCCAATTCATCCCTCTCCCCTCTTCCCCCCTGGTAATCACAGGTTTGTTTTCTATGTCTGTGGGTCTATTTCTGCCTTGCAAACAAGTTCATTTGTATTATTTCTTTTTAGATTTCATGTTAATTTTTCTAATATTGATAGTCTAATGTTTATCCTTTTATCTCTCAGCGGGATTAACCTAAGTTATATATTCTCAGCCTCTATACTAATACTTATGAATTGAATGATGAACATACAACAGAATGGACGGTTTGAAATCTGAGTGTCCTCCCCATTCCCTCAAAGCAACAACCAAATTATGTTGAAATGAAAAGAAAGATTTTAAATTTACTTCTAAAATCTTTTAATTCAATCCATTACCTCTTAGGTTAATCACCTGCTAGGGTTTGGAATTCAATTACCTGAGTTCAAACTCAGCTATGTCACCTTCTTGCTATGGTACTTCGGACAGATTACTTAATGTTTCTGTGCCTCAGTCTCATACTTAATGTTTCTGTGCCTCAGTCTCAGCTTCTATTCAACGCACATAGAAAAAGAAAATGCATCTCATCGACTATGTGTGAGTGCAAATTAAATAATATAATTCAAGTATAGAAGTAAGTGTTCAATAAAGTTATTATCACTGCCATCAATGCAAGTAAAACTATATTGAATTGCCTATGATTTCCTTCTCTCATATTTTCTTGAAAACATTTCATTTTTTTTCTGTTACAGGTACAAGAATTCAGAAAAAGATTGGCAAACAATTTATTTCTATCTTTGCCCTAAACTTAAACGTCACTTTTAAAATAGCTTTCCAATAGAACTTTCTGTGATAATAGAAATGTTCCATATCTGTGCTACCCATTATAGTAACCACTAGTGGCATGTGGCTATTGAGCATTTGAACTGTGGTGAGTGTGACTGGAGACTAATATTTAAACTTTATTTCTTTTTAATCAGTTTACACTTGAATAGCCACATGTGGCTTGTGGCTATCATATTAGACAGGGCATTCATAACAGGGAAAGTAAAGCCATTATTTGGGGGTTTAGAGAGTCCAATACTTAACCCCTTGACTACTTTGTCTCTAACTAATAGTGTCTCCATGTCTTTCAAGTCCCCTCAAATCCAATAGATCCCCTGGATATAGTTACTGAGATGCATAACT